AGCATAGACAGATGTATACCAAAATATTTTGGTTTCCATAAACAGGACCAAAATAAAAAATCGTTAACAAACTGTACAACATTACTATCAATATATAAATAATATAACCTGGATCTTTTAATTTATCTACTAACTCGTTTAAAGTACTAATTTCTTCGTCTTTGGGAGAATGAAGTACGATCATTGTAGAACCTAATATGCATAAAAGGCATCCGATCTGGAAAAAAGTATTTATATGTATCTATGCTAAATATACATCAATATAATGTACGATATCGCTTGTTTACCTTTCCGAATAAGTTAAGTTTTTCATTTAAATACTTGGATGCTAATACTGCAGATATTAGAACGCTGAGTGCTCCCAATGGTGTAACCAAGGAAGCCGGTGCAAAAGCATAAGCAGCAAAATTAGCTGCTTCTCCTATTGCCACTTTAATACAAAAATTTAGTTTCAAAAGACGTATAATTAAATTAAAAAAACATTTTTTACTTACTTGAAAGGAGACCAGCCCACCATAGCCATTCTTTCAAGTATCCAAACCCTCCAGACGAAGCTCGTAACCCACCACATCTCTGAAGACGAATCAGTGCTTTTTTTTTTATAATAAAACTGGCCCCTAAATGATCATCAAAATATAAGAAAATTATAACAAATTAGTAGCTTGCAGAAACTCCATCCATGGTGCCACTAACCTATAAAACCACTTGAACTGATTGCAAGTCCTAGACCTATATAAAAGTGTTTCGAACTGTATGATTTTGAATCGACCACAATTTCTGTCAAACTACTATCCATCTTTTATTATTGGTTAAAGAGAAAAATGAAAGTGTACTAGATCTATTCGTTTTAGACTATGATTGTAACACATTGTAATACCTTATCGAAACATAGGTAATATGTATATGTGTTACATATATGACTATTCTTTTATCGATACTTTTTTAAGTGACTAACATGCAAAACTAAGTTATCATTCGAATTATAATTTGTAAAGGTATGAATATAAACATTCCTTTAACAAGCTCCCCCTCTCTTATTCATTCTTTTCCAATTTGTAGACAGAACAGTACTATATATGCATGCACATAAGTGCATTGTTTTTTTTATCAATGAGCCATGCGTTTGCAACGATAAACATATGTATGTACACACATACACATTATTACATATATGTAAAGTGGGAAAGTTTGCCATCTGCTGGCTAGCGACAGAGGTAGCCACAATATATATTTTTATTTGAATGATCAAAATTCTGTGGTTGACTTTTTAGCTATGCTCTTTTTCTATGAAATTTATGTATACGCACATAATCCATGTGAAATACATTAATATTTTATTCATAAGAAAAAAGTATAAAAGTTTTGTGTAGTAGGGGAAGGATTATCATCATAATAGTGTAATGTAAAAATGTTAAAAAACGTATACTTTCATTTACCAAAAATTTTGCTTATCTGTAAGTAACATTTTCAATATTTTTTGACAAATTAATCTCATAGTATGCGTTGGAACTATAGAAGCATATAAAATACAAAGTATATGATCATTATGTTTAACTGCATAACATTTGTGATACTCCGAACATAAATATATTTCTTTTGCAGTAACAAATTTCCAATTATCTTTCTTCGTATCATCTTCACATACTGAAGACAATATAAATGTTTCAACAGCTTGATGATAAAAGGTTCTTAATATGTCTAATCTATGAGATCCGCTAATTCTAGTATTAGCATATCGATCATTTTTACAAAGTACAAATTTTTGTACTTTATAATTCACTAGAAGAAATCTAAAAAAGAAAATTATTCGATACATTTTTTTTCATCTAAGTTATATATACAATTTGATTTAAAGTAGTACCCAAGAGCCTCTGAATCCAAGTTTATCGATATAGGTAAATTCCTTGGATAGCACAATTCGACGCTATTTAAAATGTCAACAGTATTTTTCCAGCACTGTACAGCCAACCGCTCCACCTCTGATAACTCTGGATTTGGTCCACATAATGCTAAGACTTCTATATGGTTGATTAATGTAACAGACACTAATCGAAAAGCCACCTATGTTGCCTTTTGTGTTATATTTACAATTTGTTGCTTCAACAAGTTGTTTTTTAATAATTTTTTACAAGAATACTTACGTTTGGACTTTTATAAGGTAAAAATACTGGAATGTCACGCATTGTGCAAATATTTTCAATAGTTACAACCGTTATCAGTAACTTTCTTTCAATAGGATTCAAGGTCCACCATCCTTCTGTGGCAACTGCTAAGCAGCCATGTATTAAGATACAACCATACATGGAATCTAAACATTCCATGTAGCCTTCTAGACAAGTCTTAAATATACTGTTATTTAATATATAAGAAAATTAGCATATTATATAAAATTTCAATTACCTGAAGTACATTATTTTCAAGGCAAACAATGCACTCTGTCATATTGATGATATCAATCTTTAAAGAAATTCCATCACCTGAATCAAGACATTGTAATAAATTATCAACAAGCGGACTACAAGAACGCATATCTCTCTTAAGTTTTTCTATATTTTTTGCACTTTTTAATTCGTCTATGCCAACAAATAAAATCATTGCCCCGAAAACAGCATCAAGAAATTCATTCAAAACATATTTTGTAGTTCCATTTGCAATGACTATTAAAGTAATGCTTTCGTTGAATTCTTTCCACATAATGGTGGTATCTGGTAAATCAGTGTACATGAGCTTAACATCTTGAGATTTAAGAAACATATGGATACCATTCAGCGATGCTATTTTAGAAAATGTCATCTGTAAACAAACAAAATGAAATTCAGGGCAACTCTTGTGCAGACTTTTTTATTACAACTATAACAATCTTTTCTCAACTCTTTTTACCGGATCTCCTTCTCCTTTTTGTCGGGAAAATAATGGAATTCCTCCAGAAGATGTTAAACACATAACATGGGCTACCATGGTGTAACAGTGGTTTTATTCTATGTGAACTAGTTATCTAATAAGAACTAATTATCTTAAATTTGTATACAAATTTACAATATTACATAAATTGCATCGTTTCATACATAAAAATAAAATCAAAATTATGCATCTTCCAATACAGTCCAATCTGTGAACTGGAATTTCAGTTACAAGTTGATTATATTATGGATATGATAGAAATTATTTTTTGATTCCATGTAAATATATAAAAATATATCATATGCACCAAAAAGTTTCACATACAAGGACTGAAGAATTCTTAACATGATTATTTTAGTATCATTTAATGGTTTCTACATTGTGTATCCATAATGTATACACAATACAAAACAAGGTACATAATTTCGTACAAAAGTTGATTTATTCGAATTTAATTTAATTTCGTTGGTTTCATGTTTGCTGTGTATGTATTAGACTTATAAAATATGTCGTCCTCGAAGATTGAACGTAACTGAAAAATCACTTGATTGGTTGGGTTGTTGTAACGGTAAAAATGAAGAAAAAAATAAGAACATTTTTCCGAGAGAATTAGATTTCCACATATCTTATTTTCTTTTATTTCTGTTGTTCTGTTTGGTTTTAAAAACAATAATGTTTCGACAGAAATGACCTTCGATGATCATGAAATAATTAAAGATGACAAAAGATCTAAATAAAATTGTTATCAGCAAAGCATAACCTTAAAAGAAAATTAGACTTGATTAAATGTCTAATACAAATAGAAAATAGCAAATAGTTTGATTAATTCATGGAATAAATATACAAGAATAGGAAAAATTGATATAATCTCGACGTCTATTTGATACGAAGAGCCAACTGCAGTTGTATATTATCGAAGAAATATGCTTATACGATTATTCTTTCGAATATGTATACCTTTTGAAAGATTAACTTTCACATATGTTATCAAACTCGAAATATGTACATATTGTATGTTAAAAATATTAGAAGATCAATTACAGAGAAGAATTTGTTTTTTCGCGCACAAGCTCTGTATACACCGCAAATTACGAAAAAGAGTGTCAAATCGGTGTAGGAATGTGGCACTTCAAAATGGCTGCCAGTTACTTTGGTAATTTACGGCTGTATCTTTCTTTATTGTTGCTGATTTAATTAAGACTGTGTATCGAAATATCGTAGGATTAATCTCAAAGAGAAATAGTGAAGCAAAAGTTCTGCGTACGCGTTACTCTCGTCACATGGATTCTGTGGAAACGTGAGAATAGAATATGCTTTGAAGTCGTTCTCTCCCGATTGTTGCATCGGTCGAACTTATTTCAAGACATTTCTTCGCCAATGCTTTGCTGTTTTCGAGAAAAGTGTGTTAATGTAGTTTATTATACATGTAAAAGACACTCTAAAATGATCAGTTAGATGTCTAACGAATAGGTTAGATTACAGATCGATCTCGACATCATGCACAGAAATACGGAGAAACGTTTGTGAGATCATATACGAGTGTATTTTATTCGATAATAGATGGTTCCAAATTATATGTACATATACATATACATATACATATACCTGTACCAATTCCTATACCTATACCTGTACATGCATACATACTTGTCATGTGTGTATTCATATCTGTGCGTGAGCCTATGCAAATGTAATATATATAAATATATTTGTATATGTATGTATATGTGTATACGTATGCGTGTGTATGTATACATATGCATGTGTATATATGTATATACAATTATGGATGATTCAAAACAATTTTGCATGATGCCAGATAGTTATAGGATAATTAATAACATTTCGAAACCTATCGACACATTGAAATTTATGTAATTTTCATAGTGTGTCCAATCGCAAGTACTTGGTCGGGAAATAGTATTATAATCAGCAATGTCTGCCGGCATTAGCTACAGGAATCAATGCGTTTTGTGTGCACTACGTATTGTACAATCGTTGAAAAGATACTGCGCAAGGACTTGTTAATGTCGGCCTGGTTCAGTAAGCATTTTGTTTTTCTATTTTATTGTTTTCTCCTATAGGGACTTGTTTATTATCTACCACAATTCCGATAATATAGCAATAACACTGTCTTACTATAACTTATGTAATTGTCTACTAAGATCAAATTATTTATTTATACGGTTAAAGCACAAAATCTTAATGGAAGACGTAATGGCTGTGAACAATTTTGTATGGAACACGATAAAAATGTACCATAGAAGCATTATAACGCTCTAAGAATGTGCTGTAATATTATGTTTTAGATGTATGTATGCGCGCTTGTGTGTGTGTGTATATATATATACATATATATATATATACATATATATGTCACAGCCGGATTAAAGCTAGGTCTTAACGGGCCTAGCATGGGTAACTATGAATCCAACCGCGGTTAATAAATCAAGCACACGTGGCTCTGGATACCATCAGAAGGCATTGGCTGAAATTCGTAATTCGTTGTTGCCCTTCGCAAATATTGGAGGAGCGAGCGAAGTAGGTTCCAGTGCTGCGAGTACTATATCTACCTTATCCACAACCAGTGGTATTAGTTCTGCCTCTGGACTGAGTGGTCTCTCTGGTGCTTCTGGTTCTACCATCGACAAATCTGACCAACGACAATTATTAACACAATTGTTAGCGATGGGTTACTCCGAGGTGCGTGAGTTGCAAACTTTCAATTTGCATTGTATCTTGTATTTGTATAAAGTGGGAATACATTGATATTGATATCCTTGTTGATATTGATATTGATATTGATGTCGATGTTGATGTTAATATTAATAACGTTGCGAATTTTTTTCAATATACAGGAAATTGCATTACGAGCTTTGAAGCTGGGCAACTGGCGTTTGGATGCAGCTGTAGAATTTTTGAAACAAGCACAAGGGGAATCGTTAAATGGACTTGGTAAATTAAACACCAAACTTATAAGGAAACCGAGTTTGGAAAGAGAATTGAATTTACAACGTGGCAGCCCCGCGTTGGATAGCGGAGCTGGAAGCTCGCGATCCGATAGTCCTCATCTGACGGAGCTTAGTCCGCATACGCAATTAAGCCGTCAATATTCTCCGAGTAATTTCGTAGAACGAGAACCACCGCCACCTCCGCCTCCTAGATGCAGTTCTACACCGCCACCACCGCCACCGCCTCACGCTCCGTACAATCAGCCGAACGTGCCGACTAATATGCAGCAAATGCTGAAGCGTATGTCTCCTGCTCCGGTGGTTCCTACGCGACCACCACCAACCACACCTGGCAATACCGGACCTATTTCCACGTCGGTCAATTTACCGCAAAGAGGTACAAGTCCGGTATCGAGTTCAAACAATAACTCGAATAGTCGTCAACCGATGATCGTTCAAAACGGACCTCAGGTTCAACAGCAGCTCTCCCAGCAAATACAAGCTCTCAGTATATATCAGACCGGTAGTAGCAACTCTAATACTCAAGTTGAACCACCGCCTCCGTATCCTATAGTTTCTTCTTCGTCGACTGGGCCGGTGCAACCACCATCTTACAGTGTCTCAATACAGAATAGGCAGAGCCCTACGCAGTCCCAACAAGACTATCGGAAAAGTCCATCGTCCGGAATCTACTCCGGTCCCACTTCGGCTGGTTCGCCGAGCCCCATTACCGTCACCGCTATATCCCCGAGTACGCAAACTTCTATGGCTAGACCTACTCCGTTGCAGGCATGGGGCGCACGGCAGGCCAAGACACAGCCACCAATAATCATGCAATCGGTTAAGAGCACTCAGGTACAGAAACCCGTGTTGCAAACTGCTATCGCACCAACTTCGCCGCAACCCATTTCTACCACTAGCAATACACCCACGCCACCACCGTCTTACGCTTCATCTATTCAGCAAAAACAGCAACAACAGCCGCAGCAACAACACCAACATCAACACCAACATCAAACAGTTCAACAGCAGCAACAACAATCGCAACAACAACAAACCCCGCAACAACCACCACCGCCTGCATACGCGCCAGTGAACAATATTGCAACAACGACCGGTAGCAATATGAATGTAAGCGTTTCGGTAGGAGTACCGACCACGGAACCGCCAAGTTACGCGACAACGATGCAAGCGTTAGCAGCGCAACGAGGTATGCATCATCCGCTTCCGCCTCCTCCATACGGAACTTCAACTACTGAAGAGCCTAGTGGAATGCCAACCATGGAGAACAATGCGAGCCTGAGATCGTCCCCGGTCGCGGCGCATCATCCTCCGTTACAAAGAAAATATTCACCCGCCGACAGTTGTCAGCACCCAATGGAAACGCCATCTTTATCCTCGGTAGTGTCGACTTGTCTAAATAATAGGAGTAATAATAACAGCAACAGCAACAACGCTGCCAGCAACAATGTTGGTTGCAATAGTAGTGGTAACAACAACTGCGCCACTACAGTCACTACTACTGTATGCACCAGCAGTACCACTGTTACCACCATCACAACCACAACCACTACTAACATTGTCGTGGCTGCTTGCATCGGTAGTAACAACAACGGAAACGGAAATAGTAATGGCAACAACAATGGTAACAATAACAATAACAATAATCATACAACGGATAACAATGGGGCGAAAGGCGGTGGAGGTAGTACACTTTCACCTTACAAGATTAAGCATCAATCTCCAATACCTGAGCGCAAACACATGAGTAAAGAAAAAGAGGAAGAACGCAGGGATTGCAAAGTCCGCAATTATTCTCCACAGGCGTTCAAATTCTTTATGGAACAGCACGTCGAGAACGTGTTGAAGTCCCATAAACAACGACTGTATCGCCGGCTTCAGCTTGAAACGGAAATGGCTAAAATAGGTCTGAGTGCGGAAGCGCAGTGTCAAATGAGGAAAATGTTATCGCAGAAGGAATCGAATTACATCAGGTTGAAGCGGGCAAAGATGGACAAGTCGATGTTCACGAAAATTAAACCTATAGGAGTTGGCGCGTTCGGAGAAGTAACTCTCGTGAGAAAACTCGATACGAATCAGTTTTATGCCATGAAAACTTTAAGGAAAGCGGATGTATTGAACCGTAATCAAGTTGCTCATGTTAAAGCCGAGAGAGATATATTGGCAGAAGCTGACAACGAATGGGTAGTGAAACTCTATTATTCCTTCCAAGATAAAGACAACCTGTATTTTGTCATGGATTATATACCCGGTGGTGATTTGATGTCGTTGCTGATCAAATTCGGTATTTTCAAGGAATCACTGGCACGATTTTATATCGCTGAGCTTACATGCGCTGTAGAAAGTGTACACAAAATGGGATTTATTCATAGAGACATTAAACCCGATAATATCTTAATCGATCGAGATGGACACATCAAGTTGACGGACTTCGGATTGTGTACGGGTTTTCGCTGGACTCATAACTCCAAGTACTATCAACAAAACGGTAAGACGAGTATCATCGGCAAAATAGAGTAGCCTTTACTTTGAGTTATGGTAGATATTCAATCTGATGTTTGTTATGATAAAAACAGGTCATGGGAAACAAGATTCTATGGATCCCGCTGATGACTGGAACAACGAGTGCCGTTGCATTCAGTTAAAGCCACTGGAACGTAGAAGGCACAGAGAACATCAAAGATGTTTGGCTCATTCGTTGGTTGGGACACCAAATTATATTGCGCCTGAAGTACTACAAAGGACAGGGTATACTCAATTATGTGACTGGTGGAGCGTCGGTGTAATTCTTTACGAAATGTTGGTCGGTTCTCCTCCATTCCTTGCTAATACACCCGCCGAAACACAATACAAGGTAATTAAGTTTCATCCTTTTGCATTCAGTCTGATTCATTTCGGTTCGACGCAATTTGAGTGGCGAGAAACTAAATTCTGTAGAGCAATAGCAAGCAGAGGGAAACGGTCACGTGTCCACGTAAGAATGAATTTCCGATTACAGGTGATTAATTGGGAGACGACTCTACATATTCCGAAGCAGGCGAATCTTTCCGCGGAAGGTATGGATTTGATATTGAAGCTTTGCGTTGGTGCAGACCGTCGACTAGGTAAGAATGCGGATGAAGTAAAGAATCATCCGTTTTTTGCGAGTATCGATTTTGAAAAGGGGTTGCGCCGTCAAGTGGCGCCTCATATACCTCGGATACAATATCCTACCGATACGAGCAACTTTGATCCGGTCGATCCCGATAAATTACGCAATTCTGGATCATCTGATTCAAATAAATCTGACGAACTGTTGAATAATGGGAAACCGTTCCATGGTTTTTTTGAATTTACGTTTAGACGATTCTTTGACGACGGTGGTGGTCCTGCGTACCCTAGTCGGATAAGTTTAGACGATAACGACAACCAAGGTCCCGTTTACGTATGATGCTAGGTTTCCAAGTTTTGCAATCAAGTTTCGTACATCTATGAGACATAAACTAATGTTTCGCGATGTTTCGCGTTCGATTGTTCGATGTTTGTAAATATTGTTCGAAATAATTTCGGCTCGAACGAAATTAGAATTGGTATGTGAAATTGTTGCAGTCGATTCAATGGAACACCATACACCGTACTATAAGATTACGAAAACGAAAACAAAAACCTTCGCACTTGTCCCTTACTGCTGATGTTGCGTTCGTCCATGCGTTTCGTTATTCCCTATATGACTTTATTTTTCACCTTTCACCATTCACCATTCACCATTTATCTTTCATCTCTTACTTTTTACTCCATCTCACTTTACTTCAATCTGCTCTGTTTTACTCTGCTTTATTCCGCTCTAGTTTGCTTGATTCTACCCTACAGTGCTTCACTCTGCTCTACTTTGCTTTTCTCTGCCCTACTTAACTCTACTTTGCTCTTCACTGTTCTTCTCTGCTCTGATCTGTCTTTACTTTGGTTTACTTGGCAGTATCGTATTTTATCCAGTTTACTTCTACTATTTGACAAAGCTTTTTTCTGAATCCTTCTCCATTAAATCCTTCACCATTTATTTCATTTTCGTATCGTATTATTCTAAAATCACGACGATGGCAGGACAGAATTACGGGTCGTCGCAAAATCTATAATTATGGGCATTTATTGTGTGTTTATATACAATTTTTAGAATTTTATTATTAGAATGTGATGCAATATAGCTTGGAGTAAGATAGGTTTTATAGTTCTGTGGTCCTTCATAAAACTGTATGATTTCTTGAAAACGTTTTCCAATTCGTTTACGGTGAATCGTATATATATACATATATATTTACAATTTCAAATACTAATATGAACATAACAGTCGATTGGGAGGAAAGAAAATAAATGAACGATGGCTGGTGTATATCTATGTATATATGTGTTATGCAAATATGTACTTGCCATTCTCATTTGAATTGGTTTTTGTGCCTATTGGAAACACAACTTTGTATATTTCAGTAAATACTGTGATATTGCAGATAATTAGAATAATGTGGCTTTTAAATGTATTAACTTTATTTAACTTCTTTCTTCTTTTTTACATGGAATGCTATTATAAATAATTGTTACTAAATATTAATTATTATTGTATAGACATTTGAATGGATGTAATGTGTTCATTGTATATTTTATGCAGGTTTTAATCGTCAAATCTTTGTTTCTTTATCTCTTCCTTCATTCTCTCTCTCTCTCTCTCTCTCTCTCTCTCTCTCTCTCTCCCNGAATGGATGTAATGTGTTCATTGTATATTTTATGCAGGTTTTAATCGTCAAATCTTTGTTTCTTTATCTCTTCCTTCATTCTCTCTCTCTCTCTCTCTCTCTCTCTCTCTCTCTCTCTCCCCTTCTCTCTCTTTTGTTCGCTGACTCACGCACTCACACAATCACCCATGCCCCTCTTTTCGCTGTTGGCTCGCTACAATTTCGTTCTATTCGCATCTTTACATTTCTTAGTTTTAAAAAATGTGTTAAGTAGCCTACAGACGCTGCAATTTATCTTGTCACATGCCTCGCGTTATTAGATCTCACGTGAGCTAATTGTTGGACTACATTTTTCTTTTATGAATTGTGACATCTTCTTTTGCAATAAATTTTCACGAAGACACTTAAATTACTTAAATTACATTTTGCTATTTAATCGGTATGCGCGTTAGTCCAGTCATAAGTTATAATATGATGCGACCACCTCATGATTTCACGTGAGACCTGTCTTGTAAGACATGTTTCCAGAAATTTTTCATCGTCTTTAGGGCACTTGATGGATTCACTATTGCGTCACATACTGTTTTCGTTTCGTATGTCTTTTGCGTCTTTTCGGAATAACTGCAGACAATTACGTGTAAGAAACTTTTCCGAATAGGGTAAAAGACAGGCGGTTAGAGAGATCGGATGCACAGAGAGATTGTTAATATAAATCATGTAAAAACGCAAATGATTAATGTAATGAAAAATCGCTTTATTCATAGTTTTACGTAAGAGAGTTTTTATTATTCGTAAACTACATCCTAACAAGTAAGACTTCCTAAATATAATTGTACCGAAGAAATTGATCGAATCTGTTGACTGTAATATTTATAATATGGCTGTTTCAATTTCAGTGAGAGTATCAAATTTCCTGCAGAACGGAACGGTAACACGAGATATACAACCCTACTTTTTATATATTTTTGCAAAACACATTATTTCTTGCTTTCTTGTTTAACTTTCGTGTACTATTTTGAAATTATTCGCGGGTCCCGACTGATACGAACAAAAGTCAGACTTTCATGTTTTTATGTAAATAGGATATTTTTATTCATTAAAATCTATACTGCCGATTGAATTGGTTTCAGTTGTTACATGCTTCTAATTGTGTTTGTCATTGTAACTACAATGTGGCCTACAGACGACGAGATTTATCTCGAGACACATCTCGTGTGACCAGATCTCACGTGAGCCAATCCTTGAACCAGTCTTTTCATTTATGAATTGTGTGTAAAATCTTCTCCTCCTACTTTTTCTTCTTCTTCGACTGATAGAGCAATTGCTGCAACAATTACAATATTTCCTTGCGCTTGCACACTCTGAAACTCCATTTTGGTGTTTCGACGTGTTACTATGCGTGATACCCGACGTGAATATTGAATATTCACTAATCGTGAGAGACTATAATACGATGGACCCCTCATGGTTTCACACAAGACCTACCTGTGAGCTGTGAGACTCACTCACATCCTGACGTGAGACCTGTTCGCAAAAACGTGTCTCTAGATCTAGACAAATCTTATCGTCTGTAGACCACTTTACTGACTGTGATTGTAATCGTGATTGTGATTGCCGTTTCGTCTTTTTCGTTGTCATCAGATGAAAATTTAGAATTTGATCAAATTTGTTCATTGCTTGAATGTTGCTGTGAAGAGNTTTATGCAGGTTTTAATCGTCAAATCTTTGTTTCTTTATCTCTTCCTTCATTCTCTCTCTCTCTCTCTCTCTCTCTCTCTCTCTCTCTCCCCTTCTCTCTCTTTTGTTCGCTGACTCACGCACTCACACAATCACCCATGCCCCTCTTTTCGCTGTTGGCTCGCTACAATTTCGTTCTATTCGCATCTTTACATTTCTTAGTTTTAAAAAATGTGTTAAGTAGCCTACAGACGCTGCAATTTATCTTGTCACATGCCTCGCGTTATTAGATCTCACGTGAGCTAATTGTTGGACTACATTTTTCTTTTATGAATTGTGACATCTTCTTTTGCAATAAATTTTCACGAAGACACTTAAATTACTTAAATTACATTTTGCTATTTAATCGGTATGCGCGTTAGTCCAGTCATAAGTTATAATATGATGCGACCACCTCATGATTTCACGTGAGACCTGTCTTGTAAGACATGTTTCCAGAAATTTTTCATCGTCTTTAGGGCACTTGATGGATTCACTATTGCGTCACATACTGTTTTCGTTTCGTATGTCTTTTGCGTCTTTTCGGAATAACTGCAGACAATTACGTGTAAGAAACTTTTCCGAATAGGGTAAAAGACAGGCGGTTAGAGAGATCGGATGCACAGAGAGATTGTTAATATAAATCATGTAAAAACGCAAATGATTAATGTAATGAAAAATCGCTTTATTCATAGTTTTACGTAAGAGAGTTTTTATTATTCGTAAACTACATCCTAACAAGTAAGACTTCCTAAATATAATTGTACCGAAGAAATTGATCGAATCTGTTGACTGTAATATTTATAATATGGCTGTTTCAATTTCAGTGAGAGTATCAAATTTCCTGCAGAACGGAACGGTAACACGAGATATACAACCCTACTTTTTATATATTTTTGCAAAACACATTATTTCTTGCTTTCTTGTTTAACTTTCGTGTACTATTTTGAAATTATTCGCGGGTCCCGACTGATACGAACAAAAGTCAGACTTTCATGTTTTTATGTAAATAGGATATTTTTATTCATTAAAATCTATACTGCCGATTGAATTGGTTTCAGTTGTTACATGCTTCTAATTGTGTTTGTCATTGTAACTACAATGTGGCCTACAGACGACGAGATTTATCTCGAGACACATCTCGTGTGACCAGATCTCACGTGAGCCAATCCTTGAACCAGTCTTTTCATTTATGAATTGTGTGTAAAATCTTCTCCTCCTACTTTTTCTTCTTCTTCGACTGATAGAGCAATTGCTGCAACAATTACAATATTTCCTTGCGCTTGCACACTCTGAAACTCCATTTTGGTGTTTCGACGTGTTACTATGCGTGATACCCGACGTGAATATTGAATATTCACTAATCGTGAGAGACTATAATACGATGGACCCCTCATGGTTTCACACAAGACCTACCTGTGAGCTGTGAGACTCACTCACATCCTGACGTGAGACCTGTTCGCAAAAACGTGTCTCTAGATCTAGACAAATCTTATCGTCTGTAGACCACTTTACTGACTGTGATTGTAATCGTGATTGTGATTGCCGTTTCGTCTTTTTCGTTGTCATCAGATGAAAATTTAGAATTTGATCAAATTTGTTCATTGCTTGAATGTTGCTGTGAAGAGCAACTTCGATGTATCCACTTTATCTAGCACAAAATAAATTACTGAAAAAAAGAAAATTGAAGCGAGGAAAATAATAAATACCAAAGGGACTCACTATTGTTATCGTAAAAATAATTCTCCTATGCTACACATAATAATAGCTAATTTTATTATTATTCGTGTACATAATTTGCATATGTAAGTTTAGTCTATAGATATGTGTACGTGAAAATGGCACAAGAATCGAAGGAAGAATAACTAAAACGAACATTCTGTTAATAGCTCTTGTGTTATTTATAACAGGTATTGCAAACAATCGATCGTGAAACTATACGAAACGAAATGTAACGAAACAAACGAATTCCTGCACCGCGTCTACATATTTTATACACTTGTCAATCGTTGGAAGATCGTTTCAAATGCTTCCTTTGATAAATTTCATCCGATCATCGCATTAACGACCTGTTGCACTCTAGAACGATTGAGATCCAATGATAATTTATATGTATGAACGAGTCTATAATCTATACAGCGATACTAATAAGTGTTCCTTAACTCTGTTAACACGTTGCGTGTCTTTATAGATAATTGTTCTGTATAGTTAATTAGATTCGAAAGATGTTTCGAAAATTTGAAATCTTTCTTACTGTGAGGCTGAGAGTTTACTACAAAAATAATATATCGATACTATATTAGTTATATAAAATAGTAAGTTCTGAATAAATAATATTTTCCAAACTTGACTGTGAAATAAAAAAGTCAAATCGTAGTTAGGAAACTTTGTAAATGATAGGCAGACAACGTGTTAAACTCGACAATTTAATGATCGATTTGTCGACATTACTCACTACGTACTGACAATAAAATATTTTTATACCTTTATATGTATATATATATATTTTTATATATATACATATATATGTATGTACATAAACAATTACAATTAGTTTTAAATATTATCTGCGTAAAACTATAACATATTATGTATTCGTTGATTAAACTTTGCGCCAAGTGAAGTTCGGCTGGATTCGGCTCATCTCTCGTATTTCGTATCTCGTTTCTCGTTTCTCGTTTCTCGTTTCTCGTTTCTCGTCTCTGGTCCCTCGTTCTCGTCTCTCGCCCCTCGTCGCTCGTCTCGCCCGGCCAGGTCCGCCTCCATCCTACCTCGTCTCGCTTTGCCTTGATTCGATACAGCGTGGCATTGCATTTTCGAATCTATTCGACTTGACTCGATTCGACTAGGCTAGAACGACTAATTGTAACGCGAATGTTCTTGCTTAGTTTCATTAGTTTACAGATTGTATGTAACGCAATTACAATATAATATAAAGATCTGTTAACTTACACGCGAAAGAAAGATGATTTTGAATTATGTATAATGTATTTGGTTGTACATTTTGTAACATCTTCTCTTCAGCTTTTGTAATTACGACATCGAAGCAAAACAGAGAGGCGTATACATATTGTACTGTATTATGACAGTTTAATATATCGAATTTTTGTATATACTTTCAATAATTACTTTAAATTAAAAGTACATTCAATGCTTACTTGTATAAAGTTGTTTTATGTACTTCATAAATAATCATGCGAACGAAAACTAATTTCGTATCATGAAACAGTGATATGATGCTTCTAAAAGGATCTAAGCGAAAGATTCGTTTCCGCAGATATTTGTGGATACTCTTAGCAATTGTGATATAAGATACAACACAACTATTTTTAAATTGTCCCGCGTTTTACCGCTACACACTATCGATTATGGGATTATGTTCTGCATGCATACTTAAATACTTATGTACATGTAATGTCGATACGAAACGAATTCATTACGGTGGGAAAATACTTTATAAATACAACTGTATAAGGAACAATGGCATATTCTTCAAATGAAAGTTATCATTTTTTAAATTCATACTTCGATACTTGGAGGTGACACTTTTTAGCGAGTGATTTTTTGCTTGGTGGAGAAATGCTTGTACTATCGACCGTTTATGTAACTGAGGACTGATACTAGTCGCAGCTTCCAAGTCACTTGTATATATTGCATTTGCCTCTTACAGGTTCACTTTCTTTCGAAGAAAATCAATTTATTGGGAAGGAAGGAGAGAAAAAATAGAGGGAAAAGATGAATCGTGTAAAAAAACTTCTGTCGAGCAAAGAGACACGAGATTATTTAATGAGGCAAGTTATACAAAATTTGTACATGCATACACGCGCTCGTCCGTTCAATCGCGTAATCAGTGATAACGTGTTACGCTATGTTCGTTTTGTTACAAACAATTTGATCATACAAAAATCACTATTTTGTTTCAGTACACATTTTTGGGGACCTGTAGCTAACTGGGGCATTCCGATTGCTGCGATCGCCGATATACGAAGAGACCCAGCATATATTAGTGGAAAAATGACGTTTGGTTAGTTTGGTATTTATTATTTCTCCTAATACAAGTAACACGAATTTTTCAGAATTAATTCTGCAGATTTCACGCATAACAATATATAAGAATTTATGTTGAAGGCATTCGAAAGATCCATCAAGTTTATGATTGTGTTCATTCTTTTTTTTTTCGTTTTGCATGATCAAACATTCTAAAATCGTAGAGATACATAATATCGTTTTGTTAAATGGAATTATAGCATGTGAACTTTGAATCACAAAACAAATATGGCAAAAGTTAATTCAAACTTACAGCAAATGGTGCATTCGAATGGATTATCAATTGAGAAATTTGTTTCAGCCTTGTGTTTATATTCTGCAATGTTTATGAGATTTGCACTGAAGGTGCAACCAAGGAACTTGCTTCTCTTTGCTTGTCACTTTGTTAACGAAGGTGCACAATTGACGCAAGGTGTTAGATTTATTAAACATCATCTTTCAGGCAAGAAGGAGGTAACAGCTTGAAACCATCATTTCTCTGGTCTTAAAAGTACAAAGTTCTTACTATTCTTTTGTAGCATATCCATCAAAATTTGATGGAGACTTTTTAAGACACGTATACTATGTATAATTTAAATAATATAACCTCAGCTACTTCACAACTAAATACTTTCGTGGTTTTAATATTTATACAATGAATGTAAAAAAGCATCTACATTCAATCGGGGAGGTAAAGAAAACGAATCTACAAGATTATATGAGTTATATATTACCAAATATATATAAGAGGTATAAAATGTGCTTACAGTAGTAACTTACAGTGTATAATAACTTACAATGTTAGTTGCAATGTTAAGACATTGGTCTTAATAACAATATCATTCGTTTAAAAGTTCGTTTTTTCGCATTCTAACGCATTCTGGTAAAAAAGAAACGAGACATTTGAACCTAGTTTGGACGGATTAATATTATATATATAACATATATTATATATATAATATACATTAACTAGAATCCTTAAAAATTCAATTAATCTTACAATCAGTAGATCTACATGTGTAAATTGATCTAAAATGGTAAATTGATTATATAGCGATTCTAGAGAATCGTAAATGCATCGAATTAAAAATCTTATCTCGATGGACGGAATCGTGTTAGAAAGATGCAACTACTAAAATGTATTTTACATCATTAACGCCTGAATAGATAATACGTTATGATCGATACGATTAACATCCAGTTCATTTGGATGGATGAAGCTCCAGCTAACCGGCACTTGAACATGTCATACCTATGAAACAGTAAAATTGAATCTCGTAATGTTGATGATGTGTGTGTATATTATAATATTTACTAGATAGCTACAACTTTACTGACCTGGTTTCTACATCGTTGATTAGATTATTAAACTCAGCTTCTACTAACTGACCATCGTAATACGTAATTAAATCTTCGAACGGATATTCGAAACCTTGCTTGCATTCGCATTTATAGCCACCAGTTTCAAAACCTCTACCAAGGATGGGCACACACTGTGCAGACATTGAAATAAACCAGATGAGCCAATGTTAATAAATATACGTGTATAGATGTTATACAACAATCTTCTAAGAAGCAAAAATCTGATAAACTTACATATGAGGTTTTCTTATCGCATTTGTGGGTACTTTTGAATGCATTTGGCGCATAGAACACATCGTCGCATTGATTAATGTCGAGCTGAAGCAGGTCCATGGTAACAGCTACGACGCCTCTGTAAGGATTTTAATATAAAATGCTATGTCGGTTCTGCTCTTTCTTCACGGTGAAACTGGTTTCCTATCCCTTTAGTAGTACCTCGGATTCGATCCCGCATGCACATACTACAACCCCGTTCGGCTGTCTATGTAGACAGAAATACTTACTTGAATTCCAGTTTCCCTTTCAAACTATCCCAACCGAAAAACGGGGATGCATAGGTAATTACCCATTTCTTCACTTTGCCGTTACAGTCGAAATACGGAGTAGTCCAATGGCCGTGGTTCAAGTTTGCTGCCCTGTACAGACGTGTGTTCCCACATATTAAAATAAATCCTTTTTGGGAGATAAATTTTCTAGAGCTCCCCAATTTTATGCACCAAATCTCTTTATCCTTTGATCACATGTTACATACATATTGCTCGCGATAAAATTCATTGTCTCATGTTCGTATCCGTATTCTTACCTATAAAAATGTGGATAATGTTCGAATTTTTTTAGATACTCCCCGGTTTCGTTGTACCTAATTTTGAGTTTTATATGATATTTTTCCAACTCGTCAAAATTTGTTGCCCATCTTTGTTTTAGTACTTGAAAATAACTTTTTCTCGTATAAACTTCATCTAAAAACGTGTTTCTTATATAATTAAATGTTAATATTTTATCAAGCGATACCCGTTGTTTTGCGATAATCCCAATAGATCTTTTACCTGTATCGTTCAACCTAGCTAAATCTTCGACTTTGAATTTTCGTGTGTTTAGTTGAGTTTTATAAGCGTATGGTGCAAAGAGTGTTCTATTTGTAAATTTGTTACGATCCCAAAATGTTCCAGCAGACCAGATTTTGGTATCCCCTAGAACCAGAGCTAGAGTCTCTCCAATCATTTGGTCTTCTGTCAGAGGTCTGTCGGCTACCCTCTTACCAGAATAAACTTCATTTGGATCAGATATTTGTAGAAATGCGCTGATAAAATTGGCTAATCTAGTTGCCATTTTTGCTTCATTTTCAAAGAATTCTTTAACGCCGAAACTCGTATCTCCGCGCAATGTTAACTCTTCCTGCGTATAACTGTAAATGTATGTATTACGATTTACAAAGTCCACATCTGACGCTGTATTTTCGAATAATACAAGTGAAGAAACAATTGTATTGATATAGTTACAATTGTACTTTCAACGCACCTTTTGCAAGTTCGTGAATTTACGCTCAAGATAAACTTGAGAGTTTGATCGATATTCATTTTCTCGGATCTCATAGCTTCTGGCCCGGAAGAGTAATTTCTATAGTGGTAAAATTGTTCAAGGTATCTTTCTCGAATATATGGTTTTGCCTTCTCCCATTGCACCGGCATTTTATGAATCCCTAAAGTATCCAAAATCACGATTAGTAAATGTGTAATAAAAAAACAAAAAAAATTAGCGATATAAGAACAGGAGCCTTACACCCTATTTTAGTACAATCGAATCCGTTGTAGTATTGTTCCTGAGTCGCTCTCTCTACAATCTCTCCAAGATATGGACGTCGTACAACAGTTGGTAGCCTAAAACCTGGCTTACATCTGCACTGATATCCGCCGCGTCGAAGACCCCAACCGTGTAATGGTTCGCACTACGAATACGACAAAAATTAAATAACTTTCACATAAAATAACATAAATTATGCATCATAATGGATTATATAATATGCATTCCTTTTCTCTCTTCTTTTATTCAATACCTCAGTAGTTTCCGTTTTACATCTTGCTGTGTTTCTAAATCTGTTCGGTCCACTGTTTCCATTTCCTTTAGGGCATTGATTTATATCTATTCTTTCAAAATCCATCTCTATCACGGATATGGCAGTATATCTAAAATAAATTATGCAACTTAATTTTTAGATTAAACTTTAAACAAGTTATCCAACTATTGAGTATAATTTTGTACATACGTTGGGTATTCTATGTGTCTAAATCCTGTGTGCCTTGGATAGATGTCTACAACAGGTACGATCGCGGCCACCAACCAGCGATTGGATCTACCACAATCAAAATATGGTCTAGTCCATCTTACAGGTCCAGGATATTCGTCTGCACCTCGTGGACCATGAAATGTAAATGTTTCATTGGTGCTGTTAGCATAGCGGATTTCAACTTGATATGTAGTTTTGGTATCGTGTCTCTTGTCAACGTTATCTGGTAACCATTTCTTATACCTAAATGCAGATAGCAAATGAAATAATAACATAAAGGATCTATATATGCTATTATATAATAAAATCCCTTACTTACCATTCGTTTATACGATAATAGTCAGTTGTGTAATCTTGACTTAAACTGCTCCTTGAAAAAGCACCAAGATCTTGTACAGTAAAAGTATTTCTTGTAGATATTCTCTCTAAATGTATTGGGTCATTGAAATCATCAGCTCTGAATGTTCTTGGTGCAAATCTGGGCATAGTTTTATTGAAGAAACCTCTGTAGGATGAGGAATAAGACATATTTGGGGAGAAATAAATGGCAGAAGCATTTATGTGTGGATTTGCGGAAACATCGGCGACTGTCGACAAGAAATAATACATCATGCCCGGATCGTATGTATCGTTGATTGCTGGACGTATGAATCGTGATTGTAAAATGTAACTCCAAAAGAAGGATCTACTGAGTGCCATGTTTTGAAGATGCAATAGAGCAGTTCTATTCGGGAACACAGGATTAATGTTAATATCTTTGATATCGGGTAAATGAGAGACCGAATCCTCTGGCAAGTAAAGATCTTCGAGATGCTGAATAGGACAATTATCTTTGTTGATTTTGTCCATTTTGAAGCGAATTTCGTCAAACGCATCTCTGACTTGCCATTCATATTGACCGACAACGCCCGAACAACAGAGCCACACAATTACCGTCGTCACATAGATTTTTGAATTGGTGTATTCCATGTTTTCAAAGAATTGTTAGCTGCTTTGTGACATTCGTATCATTATTGTCCACCGGATCGTCGAAACATAAAAATGATTGAAGTGTTTCAAATTGAAGCGAAAGTCCTTTACATTCCACACCACACTAGTCACATGAAGAACCGTGTAAACACACCCAATCTACTCGAAACGTTCTCTACGCTCATGCTGCTTCGTTCGTACATACAGTAGCGCCCACATGTTGCTTTGGCTATGACGTCATCAATTCTATACTGAATTACATGTAACTTTTCCTAGAAAATCACATGCGCAGAATCCACTTCTCATTCATTAGCTATGATCCCTTCTCGCTTTGAGATTTCGGTCCTTGTGTCAATAAAAACAGAAGAAAAACAAAATGCATAATGCGATCGCCAGCACTAGTTGTTGGAATTGGTGCATAAATATTATTTTTCCAGTTTAGGTTATTCGTCTCCAAAGATTCGTCAAAAAAAAAAGAGAAGAAACGAAAGGAGTACCATTTACTCTACTCGGGTGAGTGATTCGTTAGTTTGATAATTAAATTTTATAATAGTATTTATCTAGTTTGAAGAGGAATTATCGCAATCTTGAAAGTACGGAAAAATAAGAAAAATTATGATGGAAGATGCGCCAGCAGTAGCTGTTTCAGAAAGAACAGGAGAAAGAATTAAAGCATAGCTTAATATGATATAACATTTAAATATCCTTTATTATGATAATTCTTATAGCGCCTTGGTCCATCGACCCCCGTTCCCCCGGACTTGACTCTCCTGAGTGTGTACGTACGAGTACTCTGCTGACTGTGGCATTATTGTCCCAATACTGGTCTTCACCCTTATTTATCTACGAAAAAAAGAGAATTTCTCATACCTAAACAAGTATTTCGAGGAGACAGCTTGCTGGAGGTCTCCTCGCCTCTCCGTCTCCTCGCACCTTAATGCGGCTGTTCATGCATCTACATCCTGAGAAAATTTCTATAATGCATCGTTCACGGTTCGAAACTCGTAATGTTAACGTGGGAAATACTCTTCGGAAGAGCCTTTAGACCCATAATTTATCGTCGACACATCTTACGTAACAATACGTCTTACATGAACAACTTTTAGGCTGTGCAATTTTCTTTTTTAAACGAAAACATGCACCAAATTGTACGCATCGTTTCTATCATGTCTCTATCTAACGTTTTGTGAATATATTAATCGGCCCAATGGTATCATAATTTCAAAGCGTCGATTGCATAAACATAAAATACACGTACAAGTATATTGCAATAGACGCAGCAACGTCCATTGGAGAGGAAATATGTATGCAACAAATACTAATCTATATTTCAAAATGTTGATCGAGAAAGGTTGACATATGCATAAGTATTTTTCCCTGTTGAAATCCCAAACTTCCACAACAATGGTTTCAGAGTTGGGTAAAAAGTGTATTGTCTATGGAGTATGGAGTGTGCTGACAACTAATGTATGTATGTAAGTAATGAAAGATAGAAAAGGCGGAGGAGTGGGGACAGGAAGGAGGGAGACCAGGGATAGAACGAGAAGCGGTGATAGAAAGAAAGAGAACGCTGTAAAGCGAGTAGAAAAAAAGTTGATAAAGTGAGACAAAATGAGAATATGAAGGGGGTAGAAGAATGAGTGGCATGCAAGAAAGAAGAAGGTAGAAAATAAAGAAAGAAATGAGAAAAAGAACGGAAGAAATTAGCAGAGAAACGGTTAAATAAAATTTAATTGACAAATGTGCAATGGTCGATTAGTTCGAATAGTATTTCTACCTATAACTAAATTTTGATAGAGTATTTGGAGAAATAAGAATAATGGTTAAAAAAAAGTAAAAAGTTCCAAAGGAACAGGTTTCTGCCATCGAGTGTGCAAGCATTAGCTTTCTCTGTCACTCGTTCACGTTGGAGGGACGCGGGTGCGTGTTCAACCAGACAGGCGGTTTACGGTTAAAATCAGGACCGTATCTCAATTTCTGAAACCTGCTCTGTAGGTAATTTGAATATGTATACATATTATCTACAGAATTCATTGATTATCAGAACAAAATTGTTTTTTAAGTAATAAAATAAAGAGATTTTCACGTAGCACGAAGGACAAGTGACGCACATTATACAGTCGTCGAAAAACGCATGCATACTTGCATACGTGTTAGTGCGTGCATATATTACATGTACCAACTTTATTATCCAACACTGCGATTCATTAAGAAATTTATGCGAGTCTCCGAAATTCTCCAAAGCTGCAAGATAAAAGCGATCAATAGCGCAAATGATAAGTAAATGAACAGATAATGGAAATAAATTTTGCTTAGTAGTACTTAAATTGTGCTTAAATGTTTGGTTGTTGAATGTTATTTTAGAATCTTCTACATTGACTGGTATAACAGAAATACATATAAGCATATAAGACTATGCATTTTCTGATTGGGTACAGATCGTTGAATATACACACATAAATACATGCAGTCGCGTATTACATGCGTGTACACCGTACGTGTATTTTATGTTACCACAGATTAGTGTATGTACAGTTTAATTTGGTAAACGAACGCAAATGTATGCATGTAATTTCATATTATGATCGCAAAATAATTTTGGTCGTGAGCTATAACATGGATTTTCAGGCAATGTAAAATTAATGTAAATTATATTCTGTTATAGGTTAGTTGCGAAGAAAATAAAATAAGAAGTGGAATGATAAAAAAGGTAGGAGATGAAAGAGAAACAGAGCAAGAAAGAACACATAAAGGAAAAGGAGAAACGAGGGAAACGAGAAATCGAAAAAACTATAGACAAATTTGCCAGAGAAACTGGCGGGGAAGAAAAAAAGGGCAAGAAAAGGAACCGTAGGAATAATTGTTGTTGCAGGGCGAGAACTGAGAAGGCGAGCGGTAGGGGACCAGGGACGAGTTGCGACGAGTCTGACTAAGGCGGGGCTCGCATATACCGCGCGAAGAGAGGTAAGCGGTTAAATCGGATTGGATTGAGGCGCAACTAGCAAGTAAGCGGACGTGGAAACTGGTTTGGTTTTGTGGGGCTTGCACCACTGCACCGCTCTTTCAGCGAGACAGTCCAATTTATGCATTGCGGCTATGTAGGGACTACACGATATCGAAACACTGCGCCCGGGCTTACTTCACTTACCGTCATCATTCGTTGCAATATTATCAAAACTTTGCAAGTGCCTACAAGATCAAATTCACTGCAGGACATCTTCTATGGTTATACAACACAGTGGTTATATTTTTTTACGCGGGTTCGAGGAAAGTTGTGCAAAATAAAACGCGGAAGTGAAGCGAGACACACACGCAGCACGTTCGAGTTCGCGAAAATATTGGTGAATTTCGCGGTAATATGAATTTTATACCAGTTGAACGATTGTGACAGTTTTGTGACGTATCTAGTGCTCTGTTCTACAATATACTCAAAATTTATACTGCAAAGGCTTCAAATCTCGTGCAGGTACATCATTTTTATGCGTATCGTTTATTATTTCTATTATTATTTCGGTAATGGACATTTAACGGCTCCTACTGTATTTTTTATGCCGCGTTTAGTTGTACACTTTACCTGTGTACGTATTTTCCACGGTGTCACTGCGATAAGAGAGGTTATGGTATGTCGCGCCGACACAATTGTTCCTCGTACAGATAACCTTTGGTCATACTTTTCGTATTTCCACCGTGATATTTGTTTACCAATTATTCGATAATGTACCAATAAATCAAATACCTTGTGCTTTTTGTCAGAAAGTATAGTATGCTTGTACTAAAATCACGCTAAGACGCAAAACTTACCGTAATGTTAAATTATTACCGATACGGAAAAAATTGCATTAGAACTTCGTACTTGCACATATTTATACATCCTACATATATTCGATTATTTTCTACACCATTACTATAAAGTTTCTCTTTGTAAATGTCTCTTGGGTTTATTTATTTATTTATTTATTTATTGTGCTCTGTTTCGTGTTCGGCGCGTTTTCTATAAGAAGAATAACATTTCGAGATAAATTTAGGAACAGAAAAGCAGGCTGATAGAACTTTCCTTCGTTACATAAATATCTCTGTTATTTGTTAAATAAATCATTGAATCTGATTTATAAAATAAACTGGTGCATGTTGAAATTACGTTGATTCGTTGGAATTTAAAGAGAAAAAATGATAATGAGAGAGGACACGAGTGTTATCTAGATATTAAAAAACATAATACATATGTACATACATATGTGTATGTAGGAGTACCACGAATGTGTACACTGTACACGATGCTAAAATGTTGGAGAGAATATTCTGAAATTGAATCTTTATTGCAAAAAAGATAGTATGATAAAAGACATTATATTAAGAAAGCAACTTGTCGAAGCGATTGAAATTTAAGCATAAGACAATAACCGACGCTTTTCGTATCTACCATTTGGATTCGTGATTCGTTATTTCGTACAAGTGCATATTGCACGCGATCAACTTTTTCTTCTCAGTTTTTGCACGAGCCAATCAGAATTTGCGAATGCGCTTCAAAAGAAAATGGCTAACTCGTGTCGCTGGGTTCGAGCGTATCTTTGCGCGTCGTTTTGTGAACCCCGTAGTCTGCAATCACGTTGACGTCTATCGCCATTTCCTCGCAGGAGGATTCTGTTCATTTACTTTCTAAGGTATATACAACTTTTTTATCTTCAAGATTTGTTAACTTTTTCATTGGTGCACTTTCCTAACGGTGCGTTTTTAAAAGCTGGTGCTAATTCGTCGATTAGAAGGGCATGTGTTGATGTTATCGTGAGTGCAAAAGTGCATCAACGTATTCTTGAAGAAATATGGATGCAGTTTCATTGCCGGCCGGCAAATGATTCGTAAAAAATTGATTTCGATGCTATGCTATCGCTCTCGGGGCTTGAGCCGTGTTAAAATCGAATCAATCAATTATTTTCAATCGTGTCCTCGTGATGAAAAAATCGGCAACTATTGTATCTTGGAGTATTCTTTTTAACGTGATTTCTTTGTTTTTTCTTTTCACCTTACCCAAGATGTGCAGTACGTGTACGAATATTGTCTGATTGATGAAAGCTTTGCTGCTACGAAGATTTCATTCGTATATTGGAGGATACACGACATTTCGTAGCTGCGACACCCCTTTATTGTCGAACGCGGGAAATTATGCGTCCTCTACGTTACATGGTGTCAAAGGCAGATGGTGTTTAGTTCTAAGTTTCGGTGCCAACCGTTCATGTTTTTGTCTTTCGATTGCTCCATTCGTACGTTCAAAGATTTAAAAATTTCGACAGTTATACAATTCCATTTTCATTGTATTGCTCTCTGTCTGACTGTTATTGTTATTCGTTGGTGATTTCTGGCTTTTAGAACCATTTGCCAAAATATACAATCGAATTGGAAAGAGACAAGAATTTACAAAGTAATTAAAAAGAACTAGAGAAACATTCATATTTGTCCACTTTATGTGTCATTGAGTAATAATGTTTCCTAATAGTCAAATTGTTTTAAATTGTTAGCAATTTTGGTCTTTGTATAGGGCATCCAAACTTTGTATTCGTTGATGCACAGCCAGTAGACTGATTACAATTTTTCTTTTATAGCTATGGCAGAAGGGAATGGAGAAATAAAAATGGAAGAGAAACAGTCTAAGGAGGAAATGGAATATGTAGACCGAACAGAAGACTTTTCCAAATTAATTCAATACGGTTTGGATGAAAAAGTAGCTGCAAAATTGGACGAAATTTACAAAACTGGTAAATTGGCTCACGTGGACTTGGATGATAGGGCATTGGACGCTCTAAAGGAATTCCCCGTTGATGGTGCTTTAAAAGTACTCACTCAGTTTCTTGAGTCGAATTTGGAGCATGTGTCAAACAAATCTGCATATCTGTGTGGCGTAATGAAAACCTATAGGCAAAAAAGTAGAGCTGGTCAAGGCACTGGTACTGGTACTAGTACAACACCTAAAGCACCGGATGAGGATAAAATCAAAGTAAGCTCATTATATACTGATAAGTTATTGAAGTTGTTTTTGTCAACTGATACTTATTAAAATGAATGTATATTGTTTCACAGATGATCCTTGAAAGAACTGGGTATCCTTTAGACGTAACAACAGGACAAAGAAAATATGGAGGACCTCCTCCAAATTGGGAAGGATCTACTCCAGGAACCGGTTGTGAAGTAAGCAGTATAAGATGAAGATGGAGAAAGAGAAGTGATCCGTTTGGTGTTCTGATCGGTAATGAGATTATTTTTGTTCTACAGGTATTTTGTGGAAAAATCCCAAAAGATATGTACGAAGACGAGTTAATTCCATTATTTGAAAAATGTGGAAAAATTTGGGATTTGAGACTAATGATGGATCCGATGGCAGGTTGCAACAGAGGATACGCATTTATCACTTTTACTGACAGGGAAGCGGCTCAGCAAGCGGTCAGGGAGGTACGTAGACTTTCTCTAATTTCTTCACCACATAGGTACATGTTTGTGAAGCGTACAAATTCTGATACCCTGTTTAACAAAATTTTGCTATGGGCAGATCGGTTCCCTTCACTTTTGTTTCTACAATACGTAAACACACGTTATAAAACTTGTTATTGCTATCGAAATATTCGATCTTTCGAAATGTTTAAATATAACTTGATATTAATATTGATCTGTTTTCTTTATCGTAATGCATATTTATACTGTTATTCTTTGTCTGTATTAGCTTGTGTCGGTAGCACTTTATTCAATATTCGCGTTATCGTTGCTCGTTTAACTGTGGCGAGTAAGCAACCAAGAAATCAAGAAATATCGGGTTCTATATGCCAACAGAGCATCGTTGTCCCGATTTCTTTGGATATTCATCGTTTAGCTGTCCCAATTACAGAAAATCAAACCTGTCATTCGAAATTTTACCCGTTTTTGTGTTTTTTTTTCCTCAATTAAACATTTCGAACGAAGTTTTTCATATTCCTATGTGGCTTGTTCTACGTTACGTTTACACGCTTCGTTTCCAGTAGTTTAAACTGCGATATCATATTATTGTTTCGCTAATGATCAAGGTAACAAGAACTTTCAATTGAAACATTTTGGTTAAGAACAATCCACATATTTGTTTCGTTAGCGTATATGTCCCTGATCATCGAATCGTGTTTAGCAAATTACATCCAACACATCCCTTTATATTTACCAAGATTACAATACTGAAAAAAAAAAGTGTACGTACGTATAGACGCGAGCGCGCGTACACATGCATGCACGCACAAACACACATACACATAGACCCATAGACACATATGTATACGCATACGCGCACACAAACACATATGCAGACACATACACACACGTAAACGTACAAGTACTCACGCATACGCATATTCGTCTATACGTATATTCGTACGAACGCGCACCTGCATACGTATATTTGTACGAACGCGCAAATGCATACGTATAGGTATACGTATACGTATACGTACCAGAACTAAAAGAACACACGCATACCTATCTACATACAGACATTAATATGATATCCTATGGATGAGTTTCTTTTTCCAGCTCTCCTCTTTGCTCAGTGGGCAAAATTGGGAGTGGAGAACCTTCCAGAATTTTCATGATGGAATACTGATAATAATAATGATAAAGATAATAATAGTATACTAATAATAGTATAACAATAATAATAATAATAATACCAATAAGAATAATGATAAGCATAATAGTAGTTATCATTATAATCGTGATCATAATCATAAATACAATAACAAAAATAATAATAATGATAATAGTAATGGTAATAATAACAACAATAATAACAGTAATTACAATAACAACAACAACAATAATAGGAGTAGTAATGATAATAATAACAAAGACAATTAATTATAATAATAGTAATGATAACAATAATAATAACAACAAACAAAATGATAATGAGACAATGCTTATGGGATAATGATAACAAGATGATGATAACTGGATGATAATAACAAGATGATGATAATGAGGTGATGATAATAATATAACAATAACAATAATGACTGTAGTAGTAGTAATAGTAGCCACGGTAGAAATAATATTAATAAATAATACAGTAGTAAAGTAATAACACAAAAACATGAACGATCAATATTTTTAATGATAACAACAATGTTAATAACCATGATAATAATAAATAGTGTACTAGCCAATGTCAGTGATAATTTTAAAAGAAATGAAATGAAATGTCTCGCGTGGTTAAATTTGTTAGAGGTATATGTACCCAATTGGACGGTTCTTATTGGATAGTAACAATGTTTGCAACAAAATTTGGAAAAATTGGTAGGCTTAAAATTTGTTTACAGGAAAACATGATCCGTGTACGCCGGTTTCCTATATTGTGAAGACTCGAGCGGCAAAGCGCATGCCACTTTCTCGCTTTCATGGAACCACGCCATGTTAATTATTTCACTAAATTGCACATTTCTGAAAAATTTTGCCGAAATTTTCCTGTTTTTTCGCAATTACATAAAACACAAATTATCTAATTGGAACAATATTAGGCATGTGTCTGTTTTCTTCATCCCACAGCTCGATAATCACGAAATAAAACCCGGCGAGAATCTGAAAGTAAAGATTAGTGTTCCTAATCTACGACTTTTCGTGGGGAACATACCAAAGTCAAAAGGCAAAGAGGAGATCTTGGAGGAATTTGGTAAATTAACAGGTAAAGTGAATTCGAGGCGTGTGTACCTACCTATCTACCTATACCTACCTGTCTACCTGTATTGTAACTTAAGAGTGGTAGCTTTTAAGTAGTGGTTGTAGATGGTATGGAATTCCGGAGCATCCAAGAAAACAAAACGGTGATCGCGCGCGCGTGATCGTGCGATCTGCGATACACAACCTGTGACACCTTCAGTTCTGGTCAGTCTCCTTGCCTCTCGGTTTATTAGTGAACAGTAACACCTCTCTGGTCCAAGTCTTCTTTTCCTCACATATTTAGGTTGAGTTATGAGTTATTCGCTTCCCGCCAGTCACAACAGTCACAACAATCACTTCAGAGTCTGTTCCGGTCCTTTTCCTTCTCCTTTCATCTTGCTCATTTTTTGCTCATTTTGCTCATCTTGCTCATTCTGCTCATTTTGCTCATCTTGCTCATCTCGGATTCTACGACTCGTTGATTCTCCCGTAATTGCTATCATTTTGTTTCGATGATCCTCACCTGCCGGCATCAATCTTTTCCTACCAGCAACATTTCCCCATTCATTTCCGTCCTCACTTTTCCTATTATTTTTCGTGTTTGTGCATCCCGGACCCGTTTCTTTTTGTCGGTCTTTCGTATAGTTTTCTAACACTTTCGCTTCACTCGTTACGTTTCGATTCGATTCGATTCGATTCGATTCGACTCGACTCGATCCGATCCGATCGATTCGATGCATTTCACGGTCGACACGTCGATCGCACCCACTCTTTTTTTTTCTTTTATTTGTTCTTTCGTTTCTTTTAATCACGAACAATGCGGAAAAGAGACGGAGAAACTGAAAGAGAGAAAATGTGTGGAAGCAATCGAGTACGAGTCCTAGTTTGATCGTTAACATCTTGCTGACCGGTCGCGGGTATACTCGTGTTGCTGTGTCCGAAACGTTTGCTGACCGGTCATGAGTTAACATTCGAGTTTCCATTCCACATGCCGGACTCCTGTTTCTTTTAAGAATTGCCGTGCGCGCGGAAGGGTTTTCGCTCGAAAGAGCCGGTCAGCAAGGTGTTAAGTTGATTATGATGGTAGATTACGATTCGACGTATGGAAAGAGAATATAAACCGTGTTTAGCGGTGTTCTCTGCGTAGTTGTTCGTGTTCGATCGTGTTCTCTGCGTGGCGACACACTAACGCGACGATTCATGACTGAGCCTCGAGCATGGGGGTATGGGAGATTTGCGTGGACCGCTGGGGCGTTTGGCTCGCTAACAAACGGACAGGCACTCCCATCCACCTAATCCACCTAATCCAGCTGATCCACCTGACCCATCAGACCCATCAGACCCACCTGATCCCACCTGGTCCATCCGACGTGTGTTCCAGTCGTTCCAGTCTCTCTAATTGCCCATGATCTGGTCATTCCGTCGTTCCAGCCACTTGGTTCTATGTCATATATATTCTCCCTTGTACACTGTATACAGTATTCCATAGAGTCCAGTCCCCCAGGTCTGATCTCATCAACCGCAACCATAAAACGTATAAACGTACAAACGTATGCAGTTAGTTTTCCTGGTGTTGCCTCCGCGATTCACTTTCCACGATATATAAATCACGATCCTCGGCAAACTCGTTCGCCCCGACCTGAAAAAAAAAAAGAAACATACGACATGTTTAAGCCTCCCCGAAGGTTGCTTCACGAAATCCCACGTTCAGACAGCCAATAAGCAGGTGAAATTGTAAAAGGCAAGCTTAATTGGCACTCTCCTTCCACATTATTCTTACAGCTGAATGATTATGAGATTCGGAAAGGGAAAAAGATTGGTGTTACCGTATCTTATAACAATCACCGCTTGTTTGTGGGAAATATTCCAAAGAATCGAGACCGAGATGACTTGTTCGAAGAATTTACAAAGCACGCACGTAAGTTGACAAATTGTCCTTAAATCAGCAACAACCAGTAACCAAAGGAAGCTCTGGGGGACAGATGGTGGGATAAAATCTGTGTTTAGAAAAACCGATCGGCTATATTTATCACGTCGGGAGATCGATGATAACGGGTGCAACTCTTGCAACATGATTCTCGTCGATTTACCTCGATTTTCGTTTATTTTCGACGATTTTCGTCGGAATTTGGTTCATTTACGTCGATTTGATTCGATTCGACCCGACTCGACTCGACTCGATCAGATTAGATTAGATTAGAATAGATTAGATTAGATTAGATTAAATTCAATTCAATTCAATTCGACTCAATCACACCTTTGATTTGCTTCACCTTGGATATCGATATAGCGCGCGACCTAGTCAAGCTGCAACATTTCGCGTTTGCTTTAAATTTGTCAAATAACTAATTTTCTCACGATGGTTCCAATTGTTTTTCTTTTATTTTTGAATGAAACCAGTCTTTCTGTTCGGATAACGGTATAGAGACAACGGTCGTATCAATTCGTAAGCAGTTCGATGCGTCCCACGATCGGAGAAAATTTCGATCATCGAGCCGAGCGTAAAAGCCAAGTCGTACTTGAAATAGCGTCGCGACAATCAGTCTCCAGTTGAGAGGAAGTTAAAGTTTATTGCGACAATTGATCGTGGGATGCTTCGAATGCGTGTAATCGCAAGGCCGCGGAGAGAAAAGTCGAGAAAAGGGAAGAGGAAGAGGAGAAGGAGAATGAAACGGAGGAGAGTGATTGACGGATAGAAAGTGGGAGCGTTCATGTATAAATGCGATATATAACTACACGGTGTAATAATAAATTGATAGAAGATTTGGCACAGTGAAGTCGAAATTCGCAAAATTTTTCTATTCGTTCACGTACCAGTATCGATTGAATTCTGCTTCTAGCCACCGATCGGCAGTCGAATTAGCAGCATTTGCCGGATGAAAAGTCTTTATGTTTTTTTCTCGAGCTTTAAAAACATCTTTAGATCGATGATACTTGTCGTCATCGACTTGTAAATGCGATCGGAACGATTGAAGCTTTATACGTACGGGATACGTTATTTATTTCTGTGCGATACGAGCAAATGTGGCTTGAACGGCCGTGTGCAAGAATCTGTGTGCCTGTTTGTTTGTTTGTTCGTTCATTCGTTCATTCATTCATTCTTTCGTTCGTTCGTTCGTTCGTTCATTCGATCGTTCGTTCGTTCGTTCGTATCGCATTTTTGCATGTAATATTCAAGTCTGGACACAGAGAGGAAAGGAGATGAGATACAGGAAGGGATAATCAAGTGGAAGAACGTAAAAAAGAAAAAAAAGAAAACACAAGGCACAAAACACGTTAGTTTTGAATTGACTAGTACAGAGACACACGAGAAGCGGTGTAATCTGAAAGTGCGATCGATGAAATTGTTCGAGAATATATAATAACGGCAGGACATCCGAGTAGCGCTAAAACGATACTGATAATATCCGGCAAAACCAACTCCGAACCGTAAACCGTACCTGTGTCTGCCTATCTCCGCATCTGCATCTCTGTATCTGTGTCTTTCTCTTCGCCTTCATTTTTATTTCTATCTTTATCTTGATTTTGATCATTCTCTTTGTCTTTGTCCACATCCGTATGTCCGTGTCCATATTAATCCGTATCCGTTATCCTTGTCTATACGGTTCTCTGTAGGAATCGAAAAGTGTTGACGTCGACAGCATAGAAACGAGCACACTCTCGTCTTAACGAAAAGAAAATTCAAAGCTCGCATCGGATGCCTTGTCGCGCGTTAACGGTTACGATAAATGACTTGCTGACAGATATATTTGCTTTACCGAATTTACTATCATTGCTCGGCTTTTAAACTGAGAGGAAGGAGAGGAGAACTATGTTTTTTGAGGAAACGAGGGGCGAATCACTGGGTGTAACGACTAGTGTGTAATATGTCTGTGCTCGACGAAGAATAACGTGTGGAAGCGAACTCATTTGTTCGCTTTCGATGCTATCGAATTTTGAACGATCGGTCCGTTTAAAGGAAGATACCTATCCAAAGATCGATCGAACGAAACGTAAACCTAAAAACATCTACGATGCCACCGGTCGTAACGATATATTGTCATTGTCATTGTCATTGTTTGTGTCAGTGTTAGATATAGTGTTCGTCTTAGCGATAGTGATAGTGACAGTGGCAGTGATAGTGTCAGTGTCAGTGCCAGTGTCAGTGTCAGTGTCAGTGTCAGTGTCAGTGCCAGTGCCAGCCCTCTCATATCTTGCTTCAGTCGCAAGGGTTTCGAGTTTGAATAAATTTACAGTTTTCTCTAACGTCGTTATCGCGTACATAACATGACCATCGCACTGCATGGAAATTATAATAGCATGTTCTTTCTTCCATTTAACGACTCTTCTTTATTCTCTGTTTTGATTATAGTACATTGCATTGCATTGCATTGCATTGCATTGCATTGCATTGTATTATACACTTACATTGTATTTATATTTATATGTAATTTATGCTATATTACATTATATTATATCTTACTGTAGCGTATATTTTCACGCAAGCGACGATTATGTACCGATCGAACGGACCATAAACACGTTCATTTGGATGATAAATTCTATTTTAACCCATGAGTTTGAAATTGTCCACACCTCCCTCGCGAGTCTTGTGGTTTCAACCACTCTGAACAGATTTCCCAGATGCAACGTTTTATAACTTTGCATTTGCTAGATTAGCAGATACTTGCCGAGCTTTACAAACGTTTATCGCCTTTCTTTTACTATTTCTTCTTCTATCGATACTTCACTTTAATTCATGTTTTGCGTTTTCTCTTCTTTTTCCATCTCCATTTCCAATTCCGATTCCGTTTCCGATTCCGTTAACATTTTAATGTATAGATTTAGTTCTCTCGAGGAAACTGAGCCAAACGCGAGTTTTCACCAAGTCGAAAATAGTGTTTTCTTTTGTGGTCGGACGTAGCGGTTTCATGGAAAATGCATCTTTTGATAGAAGTATTTATCGTCGTACTTGTATCTGGTAAAACCAGGATGGAAAACGTACCATGTGTGCACGGTTACGAACATGAACGCGATCGCGAACGCAGTTAAGATTGAGCACGCGCGTATGTATGCTGGTGCGGTGAGCGTGTGTGTATTGTGCTGTTTTATTTTTTCTTTTTTTTTTGTTTTGTTTTCTACTGTATTGGATTGTGTCGTATTGTATTGTATTTTATTGTTTTGTTTTGCTTTATACTATTTTGTTTTGTTGTGTAGATGCGTGAGTATGTATATTATTTCGCTGAAATTGGATAGCTGCAGACTTGTCGATGCTGTTTCGCAACGAAACTTGAGAATCGCGTCAACGTATAGTTGCCCCTTTGGCAGAGGTTTTAAGATCACGGACAAACATCGAGCGAATTGGACTTTTTAAATTTCGTATGTTCAGGGTCTAAATAATACATGCTGCGTGTCGGTAGTATAGCATTGAATCTTTCTAGGTAAAGATAGGCATCTTTAACGCAGAAATCATTCGCTTTTTCGTTCCTTTATCGTTGCAATTTCTGAAATGCTGATAAAACGGCGCGTAACAGCATATTAAATTTTTTTACGTCAAATGTACGTGTGTGTATCTCTTTTTCTCTCTTTCTCTCTCCATATCTCTTCTCTCTTTCTCTCTTTCTCTTTCTCACTGACTCAGGTCTCACTCAGTCACCCACTCATTAATTCATCTGTTCATTCATTCATTAATTCATTTAGTCATTCATTCATTCATTCATTCATTTTTTCATCGATTAATTCATTTATTCATTCATCCGTTCATTAATTCATCTGTTCACTCACCTACACGCAAACTCACTCGACCACTGACCCTCCATACACGCGAACGAACACGCACACGTACACAGAGTGATCCACTCGATCATGCATACATAGAGTCGAACACTCAGTATCACTTTGACGTTTTACACGGTCGTCTTTCGTATCTGTTATCCTTGTCTGAACGTTTCTTGCGGTATCTATATTTTCACATTTGTCTGTTTCTATCATTTAGTTTTCTTTCGTGTTGTTTTCCTTGTTGACGTTTGTTGACGTCTGTTGACGTTTGTTGTTGATTATTGAGAAGTCGAGTAACCGGTAACGACGAGTGAATAGCGTGCAGTCGATCGCATTTTACAGACTCCTCTGCCTGCTACACAACGTACATCGAAGGAAAGCAAACTGTGAATCGGTATAAATCGGTATGAATCGTTATAAATCGATCGATTGAGTAGAGCACAGTATTTCCTGTACCCGCGCAGCTTTTATTCGCGTAATTCGAGACCATGCAACGTGAGATCGCTTCCATTTATTCTTTGCGTTTCGGCAGTGTTTGTTTCTCCTTTCTTTCCTTTTTGTTTTAATTTAGACAAATATTTTTCATCTTCTTCAATTGAAAAAAAAAATGTTTTCTCCAATTTTCTTTAAGTTTAAACATTTGTTTTTTCGATTTCTTTAATTGAAAGAATATTTTTTCAAGTACCTTTTTTTTCACTTCTTATCTTTTTTTTATTTGTCATTTCGTTATCTTAGTTATTTATTTTTTTATTTTTTTTCCTTCTAAAATTTGTTATTTTTTTGTTACTTTAACCGTAGATGTACATATTCGTAACACGGTCAACGACAAAATCTATTGATCCATTTTGTATAATTTTTCATCGCACAGCTGGCCTGACCGAGGTGATTATCTACAGTTCTCCGGACGATAAGAAGAAAAATAGGGGTTTTTGCTTCTTAGAATATGAATCTCACAAAGCAGCTTCCTTAGCGAAACGAAGGCTGAGCACGGGCCGCATCAAGGTATGGGGCTGCGATATTATAGTCGATTGGGCAGACCCTCAAGAAGAGCCCGACGAGCAAACGATGTCGAAGGTGAGTTATCCCGCTGAGGTGATAAGTTATAAACCGTTAAGAGCAACCATCGAGCAATTAACTTCCTGTTTCAGGTGCGTGTACTTTACGTAAAAAACTTGACACAAGATTGTTCCGAGGAGAAGTTGAAAGAGTGCTTCGAGCAGTACGGTAACATCGAACGAGTCAAAAAGATCAAGGACTACGCTTTCGTGCACTTCGAGGAGAGAGAGAACGCGATCAAGGTAAGAAAGGAGAATGTGACTCGACAGAGCGGGATCGGCTCGAATAGATTCTGTTTATTCTGTTCGTTGTCGTTTCAGGCGATGAACGAATTGAATGGAAAGGAAATCGGTGGCTCCCACATAGAGGTGTCTCTCGCGAAACCGCCGTCCGATAAGAAGAAGAAAGAGGAAATGCTCCGCGCCAGGGAACGAAGAATGATGCAAATGTTGCAAGTTCGGAGCGGGTGAGTGTTTTCTCGCGTTTCCGCGTGTTCGATCGAGTTCGGAATATAACCGGAATCGTTTGCGTTGTACAGAGGTTCTCCGTCGCATCCGAGCATGATGGGAGGACCGATGCAGGTTCGCGGACCTGGTCAGGGTCCTCGCGGAACTGGTGCAGGTATGCGAGGACAAATGGGACGAGGCGATTACGGTAAGTACTACCACGCCAGCTCAAGTTTCTGGTTCCTCTATTCCGCGGGTTTCGACCTGTTGCTGTTCTGTTGTTCCGTTGTTTCACGATTACTGCAAACACAAATGCATTTTGTTTACTCGAAGCACTTGTTCACCGCGCGCTTTCTTTCAATCAACACTTTCGCAATTAAAACGTTCGCGTACCATCTTTGTTACTGGCTCGTTACCAGTAAAAAAAAGTTCCCGATAAACTTGTTCCGACGATACGAATCGCGTTACGTCCAATCTCTTCTTTTTGCTGTTTTATGCAAGTCGGTATCAATCGTAGCTAATCTCGCGTTCCTATTCGATTCAGTTTGGCCCGAGTCTATCCCGACCGCGGTTTACTTACTCACGGGTTCGATATTCTTTAACGATTATTATTTCGCGATTTCACGATTTCGTAGCTTCGCAATTTTCCAGTTCCGCGTGCAAGTCGAATCATCGAATCACCGAATTACGATACACGATAGTTGTCGCTTAAATAACTGAATGTTCCAACCAAGTGATTTCCTCTTTTTTCACGTATTTTCACGCATATATACGTCTCTACGTATGTATACCGAGTGTGGCTTAACGATGTAATCAGAGCATCTTGTTGCCTTACCACTACCACTTCCTGTTACCTGTTTTTTTCTTTTGTGTGTGTGTGTATATATATATACGATAGATAACGAGCAGAATCGCTCGTACGAATGTGTGCGCCGGCATGTGATTCTAATCGTTTCTTGATCAACTCGAGATTCGGAATTCTGTGTTCAAGATTCAGAATTCGGGATTCAGAATCCGATATCGTGAATCGAGGGAGTACGTTACAATGCACTCGTTTGCACACCCGGCATACAAATTGTACACGCGATTCTTACCGTTGTCGATCTCTTTATCGTTATATCTATCACTCTTATTCTTAATTCTTAATTCTTAATACTTCATTCTTAATTTTTAATTCCTAATTCTTCATTCTTCATTCTTAGTTCTTAATACTTAATTCTCAATTCTTAATTCTTCATTCTTAATTCATACTTATTAATTTTTAATTTTTAATTCTTAATTTTTAATACTAAATTCTTAATTCTTAATACTAAATTCTTAATTCTTAATTCTTAATACTAAATTCTTAATTCTTAATACTAAATTCTTAATTCTTAATACTAAATTCTTAATTCTTAATACTAAATTCTTAATTCTTAATACTAAATTCTTAATTCTTAATACTAAATTCTTAATTCTTAATACTAAATTCTTAATTCTTAATACTAAATTCTTAATTCTTAATACTAAATTCTTAATTCTTAATACTAAATTCTTAATTCTTAATACTAAATTCTTAATTCTTAATACTAAATTCTTAATTCTTAATACTAAATTCTTAATTCTTAATACTAAATTCTTAATTCTTAATACTAAATTCTTAATTCTTAATACTAAATTCTTAATTCTTAATACTAAATTCTTAATTCTTAATACTAAATTCTTAATTCTTAATACTAAATTCTTAATTCTTAATACTAAATTCTTAATTCTTAATACTAAATTCTTAATTCTTAATACTAAATTCTTAATTCTTAATACTAAATTCTTAATTCTTAATACTAAATTCTTAATTCTTAATACTAAATTCTTAATTCTTAATACTAAATTCTTAATTCTTAATACTAAATTCTTAATTCTTAATACTAAATTCTTAATTCTTAATACTAAATTCTTAATTCTTAATACTAAATTCTTAATTCTTAATACTAAATTCTTAATTCTTAATACTAAATTCTTAATTCTTAATACTAAATTCTTAATTCTTAATACTAAATTCTTAATTCTTAATACTAAATTCTTAATTCTTAATACTAAATTCTTAATTCTTAATACTAAATTCTTAATTCTTAATACTAAATTCTTAATTCTTAATACTAAATTCTTAATTCTTAATACTAAATTCTTAATTCTTAATACTAAATTCTTAATTCTTAATACTAAATTCTTAATTCTTAATACTAAATTCTTAATTCTTAATACTAAATTCTTAATTCTTAATACTAAATTCTTAATTCTTAATACTAAATTCTTAATTCTTAATACTAAATTCTTAATTCTTAATACTAAATTCTTAATTCTTAATACTTAATTCTTAATACCTGTCTCTTATACACATCTAGATGTGTATAAGAGACAGTGCTTATACATTGACGAACTATCTTCGCATGCGTATCGTTTGTTTTGTATTTATGTATTATGACGATGCTCGAGTGAGATAATAGTATTCTTTTTTTTGTGGCAGTGCACAAGGATTATTCTCGAATTATCGAATTGACACGAATCTTACAACCCCTTTCTTCCATTTTTCGCTTTTTCATCATACTTTTTTCCTTGTCTCATTTTACCTTGCTTTTACTTTACCTTACTTTATCTCAGACAACTGTACCTTCTACTGTACCTTTTACTGTACATTACTTTACTTTACTTTACTTTACTTTATCTTAGTTTAGTTTAGTTTAGTTACGCCGTTAGTTTCATTACGTTCTACGTAAGCGTGTGCATTTCGTTGGTTTTGTATGCATCATAAATTCAAAAATTTGTTTACAGCTCTCGTGGAAATAGGTAAGAGATGTCGCTGTATTGCGACGATGAATGGAACGTGGTGGCGTACTATTTGTAGATCTGTGTATTTTTTTTTTCGTTTTTCAATTCTGCTCAACCGAAATGTATGAAAGTATCGTGCGGTCTCGGATCATCGAAAATTGTGTAAAACCGTGTAGAAATACGTGTGCGATAAGCGGGCGGGGGTGAACGAATATGGAAGCGAGCGTTAACACGCTGCAACAATTGTCTGAGAAATGAAGTATAAGATTGAGTAAGGAGACATTTTCTATGATCCGTGAAAAGCATGGAATTTGTCAGGATACGTGATGGTGGTAGGGTAATTGTTGCGAAGTTTTTTTTTCCTTTATTATAGTGCGATGCAAAGGCAAAGAGATATTTTTTTGCAGGATGATGATTTCGTTGAATCGTTTCATAGTTTATTTACGAGTAAACGCGGACTGTGAACGCGGTTGTTCGATTGTACGAATTTTTCTTTTCTTTTTTTTCTCTTATTGGAGTTTAAGAACCATCTTTTCCCGGCATGCTTTTTCTTACTACGAAATACAAGTATTAGTTTTGAATAAGTTGTCGATTGGATTTTACATATTATCGTGGCTAAATTTGGGTCTATTTGTAATGTGTGTTTTTATAGATTATGATTACGACTATTACGGTTATGGGGATTATCGAGGTGGCTACAGTGATCCATATTACGATGACTATTATCGATACGAAGATTACTATTTCGATTACGCGCCGCCTCCGCCACCTGCCAGAGGGAGAGGCAGGCAGCCTCAACCGGTGGGTCGCCTTTTTTAATCTAAAGTCGTTTCCGTTCTCGAATCATTTCTTACTTTTAATATGATTCGTATATCTATGTGTGTGTCTCTGTATATGTGTATATATATATATGTCTCTTTCTCTCCATTTCTCCTTTCTTTCTTTCTCTCCTTTTCTCTACCTCCTCCACCTCTCTCTCTCTCTCTCTCTCTCTCTCTCTCTCTCTCTCTGTCCCACCCCTTTGCTTTCTCTCTGTTCTCATTTCTCTCGATTCTCCTTCTCTTTCCCGTCTCTCTGCACTCCTTTTACCTCGCTCTCTGCCTCTTTTCTCTTCCCCACTCTCTTTCTCTCTTTCTCTTCTGTATTAGTACGCGTACGTACATATATGTACATATATACATATATACACACATCGACGGTAGTTTGACTGTGGCACAGTGTTCACGGACGATCCCAACAACATTATTACACGATCCATTTTACGCCTACCGATAAACACCTACTTGCTCGTTCGCTCGCTCTCGATCAGAAGCGAAGATCGTATCGTTGCGGATCGATCGGATTGGTACGCTAATCTCTGCTTTTTCGTCTGACAAACCAACCATTAAAAACTCTAGTAATAATAGTAGTCAAAATAATTATAGTGATATTAGTATTAATGGTAATAACAGTAATAATAATAATAATAATAATAATAATAACAATAATAATAATAGTAATAACAGTAATAATAGTAATAATAGTAATAACAGTAACAACAGTAATAATATTAATAGTAGTCTAGTAGTGTAGCAGCAGTAGCAGAGCTATAGTAATTAAGGCGCCGACAGTAGCCGTAATAGCTTTAGTAGCTTTGACAGCTTCAATAGTTTTAATAGTTGATAGTAGTAGCACTAGTTTTTGCTCTAGTTGTTGGTAGTAGTAGTTGTTACAATAGTCGTGTAGCAGTAACAATAGTAGCGGTAGCAGTTGGTTGCGGACAAGCAAAAAGAACGAAAAGGATCACCTAGAAGAAAGACGATGGTGGTAATAAGCAAGGAGAATTGGACGGAGAAAAGAGAGAAAAAAGATAGAAGAGATGAGAAAAAGTCGATAGAAGAGACTCTCGAAAAGATCGTATGAAATAGACGATATGGGGGCGAGCGAATGAGCAATCGGCAGACCAACCGATCGATCCTGAATTTATACGTGTACATCTACTAATAATACCATTGCTTGAACTAACGTAGTCCCGTTTAAATCCGAACACGCTGCCACTTTCAAATTGATTTCCAATCATATCTGAGCCATAGTAGACCCATTCTAAATTGTTCAACGAAAACTCAGCCGGGAAAAGTACTATTAGAAAAAAGGAAAGTAAGAGAGAGAAGTCGAAAGAAAGTCAATGATAAACGAGCGATGCAAACAGCGTTCTTGAACCGAACATAGAGGAAGAGAGAGGGAGAGAGAGAGAGAAAGAAAGAAAGAGAGAGAGAGAGTGAGAGAGATAGAGAGCGAGAGAAAGAGGAAAAGACAACTCTCTTCCTCTGTCCGTCTCGAGTTTAAATCGTGGTTCGTTACAACAGAAGAACATGGTGGTTGCTGGGATCGTTTAGCGCTTATCGTAGGTTTTCCCGAAGGTTGCCGCCCGTCACACGCTACCGTTCATCTATGCAGTCTCGTCTGCAGTCAATGAGCGATTCAGTTTCAGGCCGTAGTAACAAAATTTTGGCCGTCTCTGCTCGTGTGTTACTTATGCGAATCATACAGTTGGCGTGGCTCGATCGCGACAGCCGTTGTCTATTTCCGAGGAAAACGATGTGTGCGTCTCGTGGCTCGGATATGATATACGCATAGATGGATAATCTGTATAAGTATGTATATATACATATACATATATATATTTATACATATATATATACATAGATATATATGTATATGTATAATATACACACAACAAAGCACACATGCCTACATACACACATACAAACTCTCTGACACTGACACGTGCGCACGCAGATATATACATATATATATTATATATGTATGTATATGTAATGTCGCGCTAACACACATGCCTGTGTGGATATAACACGTCCCATACATATATAGATGTATACGACGTATATACAATTATATATAATATGTATATGTATATGTATATATACGTGCGCACGCGTATGCGTGTGCGTGTGTGTGCGCATGTAAAATTACAGAGATTTTTGTTTATACCGTAAGAGAGTAGTGAGCACCGTGCAATCGTTATTACAATTGCACCATTATCGACCTGTAATTCGACCGACTCTACGAATAGACTGGTTCGTTCGGAAGATCGATAGATCGACGAATAGATAGGCAGACGATTGAGATAGAGGAGGTGCTAGGCATCTCGGGAAGTAGCTCGGAACGGTTAATTCCTCTTTCGATTCTTTCGACACATTCCTGGAGCTCGACTCGCGTTACATGATTTCGCATTGTCGTAGTTTCTGTTCGACGTTGAATCGATTTCGATGGAAGCGCAACCAGTGGCGATACTAATCGAATCGAGCCTCCATTGTCGCTTCCAGCCGCTCGCAATCGTTCGGAGTAGCCGACGTTTTTATTCGCCTCGAACATTCACGTAGAGCAGTTTGCTCGACGATCGTTTCGACGCTGTAACAATGGATTGCTCGGAAACACGAGGACACCTTGCCACTTCTAGAATGTCCTTCCGCCATTAAACGTTGGTCGTTCGTATCACCGGAGCGTTCATCGAACGTTGCTCGAATTGTTATCAGAAATTGTTCCAGTTATCGTCGAGTATTTCGGTAAACCACCTTCAAACTCCGTTCGATCCGCTTGTCAAGCGTGTCGTGTATAATGCTGCGATTCGTTCGATCGTTTCGATTCGATCCTTCGATTCGATCCATGGTCCGTCCCATGGTGTGTGGATTGCGCGATTTACCGAGTCACTTTCCCATGGAAGGACGGACAGGACAGGCTGTGATATGATCACATCGCAATCAAATAGTACGAGCTAGACAAGGCTGATGAAGAGAATAGGCGTATAGAGGGTAATACCCGTACCCTGGTTCCGTTCGGTTTTCTGGGTCGCGTATAGCTTAGTAATCGGTAGCATCGATAATATAGTTAATGTGTGTTGCTTGTTTCGCCGTGTAAAACTGACGCTTACGCTTCGATTAGCTCGCTGCAACGACTACTCGCCGCTTTTCTAGTGTATCGTTCAAAGTTGGTTCTTTGAATTTTGTTGTCGCTGACGGTGCGGTAGGGTTTACTATACAAACGCTTTCAAATTTCCTCGTCTTAACCAGAAGTTACCGGAGCACCTCCGGAGTCACCAAACCAACTATTTACGCTTTACGCTTTAAACACTAGATTTGAATAACTTTGCTAACGCTATATCTCTACTGTCTCTGAAACATCTGATTAGTCGAATTTTGCTTTGAGATGAAAAAACTTCTTCTGTGTATGCTTCCTTTTCTTGTCGCCGGCGCATCGACGCCCGTCCAAGTATATATATACGTATCACGCAATATCCGTGCATTCTGTGATAGAGAACATATCGGCGCGGAGGGTGCATCGTTAAACGACGCGTCTAAACGTTACGGTCAACGAGACACAGGATCAAGAAAAACGTGACCGTGTTTCGGCCAATTTTGTCGACACGATAAGATCGTATAAATCGGCGTCATCCGTTTAGCGATGCATCCCGTCCAGAACCAGACAAACGCGAGAAATCTATCTCGGAACCCATTTACCCTCGACGTCTCCCACCTTCCATCTGCGTATACCATCTATCTTCTTATTTCTTTCACGCAGCGTACATATTCTCTCTGCCTACTTTTTCTTCCTGTGCAATAATATATATTATATATATATATATATATATATACACTTGTATTATACCTGCATAGGATACATGTAAAATACTTCAAAATGTGTATATAATGTGCAATAATATGTTCGTATGTGCGTGTGTGTGTATAAACGCGTGTTACGTACCAAGTTGACAGTGCGACGTGTGGTGGTACTTGGTCGTTTGTACCTATACGCGTCTGTACTGTATATATATATATTTTTATATATATTTTTATATATATGTTTATATACATGTTTATATTGTACATAATGGTGTACATAATTGTGTACAAGGTATTTGAGTTTTTGTATCTAGTGACTAGCGTAGTACATGTACACACAACTATAGTCGATCAGCCTCAACGAGATGCTAATCCGTATACACACGTGTTAAGCATTTTCTTTTATTGTTTTCTAACATCGTTGGGACTAGCTCACGAACAATGCTCGGACACGAGGGATAGATAGAAAAAATCGAGTACGTTATATATTGGTGCACACGTTTGTATCGTGACTAGAGAGGAACGAGAGAAGACAAGCCGTTGCGGAGAACAATAATTCTTGGATCGCGATCATTGATAAATTCTAACGAAGTAGAAAGTCGAGTCTGATTAGGGAAGCGAATCGATGGGATATATCGTGTGTGCTGGCGCGCGTAAAATCAATCAGCCGAGGAAAAAAAGAGCAGCGAATTGAGTGAACGCGAGTGGGAGGATGAGCAAAGGAGAGAGAGAGAGAGAGAGAGAGGGAGGGAGAGAGCGAATCGGCAAAGGAGAGAATGCGTTGAAATGGAAGGAATTGAGAAAATGTGAGAACGAGAGAATGCGAAGGAGTATGATATAGGTGTGGTTTATGCTATAGGAAGACAATTATAATCAGATGGGGTAACGATTGGGTGTGTGTTATTTGGTCAGGCTGGACGTGGTCGTGGAGTAGTGCCGCGTGGCCGAGTCGGTGGCCCGCAAGTCCGTGGCCCAGTCAGGGGGGGACGCAACCCCGCAACTACAGGGGCCCGTGGGCTCCAGCGGCTGTCCGCTCGTGGGGGGGTCCGCGCCAAGGGAAGTTTACCAGGTGAGGATGGTCTGTATCTCCACGATAAATCAATCATCTTTTACGACTCTAACGTATTCGACCGAATTCCGACACCGGACGCGTATTACATCCCTTTTCTTTGACTGCATGTTAATCTTTTTCGATGTAACCCGTCGTTCGCGATCGCGCGTCCCACAACAACTCCTGCTTCCGATTAATCGTTCCAATCTGTTGGTCTCGTTCCTATATCGATCCTTTGGTACAATGAGAACCACATTGGTCGCAACCGAACGGTGGTGGTATCATCATCCTTCCCCGTTCCATTCTCAATCCACATTTGTTATCGTTCCGGATCGTTCTATCGTTTCCTCGACAGATAAACAACGAACCCTGCATACCATTGTTTTCGTTCGTAATTAGTTATTGGTCACGTTTCCTATTTTCGAGCGATTGTTCGTTTTTCGTCCTGAAACACATTATCGACGTGATCGGCGGCGAGAAGATGGGGTCTTGCGTCTCTCAAACCCGGGAGCACGCAGACGCAGAGACCGAAACGTGTTAGACGTAGACGCAGACGCAGACGCAGACAAAAAACGTGACGTGCTTACGCAAGTAGTTCACTGACGCACGACGCATTCTCGGGGACCGGCAGTTGTACGAAGCGATCGGTCGAGGAAGGTCGGGGTGTCGCCGACACGTGTCGCGGCACGCGTTCCGATCGGCCAGGTGTTCAAGGTCTGTTTGTTTGTTTGTACAGCAGGTAAACGAAAATTTGACGGGGGTCACCAGAACCAGGGGGAATCAAAGCGTCGCTTCCAGAGCAACTGGGGAAACCAACCCCTCGCCCAACAACCATTGGGCAATGCGTACGGATTGGCGAGTGTGAACGGTGGTAGTGGTGGTGGTGGTGGCGGTGACATCGGATTCGGCGGCAGACAAGCCGCGCTTGCCGGTGTCTCCAACGATGATCACGAGTGGTATCAAGACTCTTACCAATCGTGGAGCTAACTTCTGCGAGTCTGTGAGTGTGAATACGCACGTACAACACAAGCACGAACGCACGCACGCACCAACAAACGTAAGAACCAACCAGTCGACGGAACGGAATCGAACGATCGGAACGCGCGTACGCTGGACGAGAGGAGAACAAAAGCAAAAGCGATGGGACGTGATAAGGAGAAGGAGAAGAATGGAAAGGTTGGATGGAAAGATTGCTGCGCGGCAAACGAATCGTTGGAAGCGGAACAAGCGGGTTACCCGGAACGGTTCGAGGATACCAAGCGGAACGAGAACGAGGAGAACGGTGTGAAAAGGGGAGCCGAGATTGGAGTTGAGAGCGGAGTCGAGAGCGGAGTCGAGAGCGGTATCGAGAGTGGAATCGAGAGTGGAGTAGAAAGTGGTATCGGAAGCGGAGTCGGGAGCGGAGATAATGGTAGTTGCGAGGACGAAGACGGAGACGGAGACCGTGGCGGAAAGAAAAGGTAATCGGGGAGCGAGTCTCGGTGCGAACCGTTTACCTCGGTGAGAAAGGATCGTACGGATGCTGAAGAGAAGAAAGGGAAACCGTCATGGAGGGTTAGCATGCGTTTTCGGGTACATACGTAGACACGACGCTAAACGAAACGTAACGAAAGGAAAAATGGTAGCAAAGAAACGCGAAGAAACGTGAAAACAAAAAAAAAATGCGCGATGCGACGTGCTCGGTGCCACCACCTTCGCCCGCTGTTGTTGTGATTACATATACAGTGATGTGCCACTGGAACTAATTATTACGTCGGAGTGACCACCCAACAACCCACCCCGTACTATTATTATTATTATTATATATATATATATATTATATATACATATAGATATATATAATACGATAATACTAATCTAAGTACCGCTACTGCATTGTCACATTGTTTACTGCCAAGTGATACGAAGATCGGCGATGTTGACATTGGGATTGTGATGACGATGGATCGTATTAGTTAAGAGAAATTCGCCGAGGCGATAGCGAAAGCGACAGCCCACGGTTTTATCGTGCCTCGGCTCGGATTTTTGAGCCCTTGCGAGAAAAACGTGGCGCCGTACTCTTTCGAGCATGTCATGGGAAGGGAATCGATCGCGTTCGCAAATCCGGACAAATCCGGAACAGCGAAAGAGCGATTGGATCGATAGAGCGATAGAGCGATAGAACGAAAGAGCGACGTACGAGGAGAATATTTAGAGAATGTGTTATCGAAACTGGGAATAGTGTAACGAGATCGAGAGAATGGATCGTGACAAAGTTTTAGGGCGCGAATGGTATTCCGTGTCGTGGACGTTCATGTCACACCGCCTAGTTTCGATCAAAGTTGCCCGGCCGATATCGACCAACCAATTCGGCAACAGGTGTGCAATGCACGTTTATGATTGTACGAATGCGTCCCTGTGCGTGCGCGCACGCGATCGCCGAAGCGAGACCGCCAAAGCGACCGCCTACGCATTCGTACGTGTACGTATCGGTGTTCGTGTTCGTCGTGTGTGTGCATGTGTATGCGTGGAGCGCGCCTAGCGCCGCTAGACCTTCTATTGTTGGTCTATAATGTGTACAGTCAATGAAACTATTATTATTATTATTAAGGGTCGGACGAAATTTACAGAGGACAAAGGAAACTGNCGCCTACGCATTCGTACGTGTACGTATCGGTGTTCGTGTTCGTCGTGTGTGTGCATGTGTATGCGTGGAGCGCGCCTAGCGCCGCTAGACCTTCTATTGTTGGTCTATAATGTGTACAGTCAATGAAACTATTATTATTATTATTAAGGGTCGGACGAAATTTACAGAGGACAAAGGAAACTG